GTCGACGGAGGATATCCGAGGAGGAGGCGTGCGGCGAAAAGCGGGAAGGAGGACGAGATGGAGGGGGAGGGCGGCGCGGGGAAAGACGATGACACAATCCGCACGCCAGGTCGCCCACGCGGGGCTGTGTCGGAGGACCAGGTAAGCCCTGGCCTTCTCTTTCACGTCGGCAAGCTCGCGATCCAGCTGGGCCTCGCCGCACAACTCGGATACGGAAAAAACAACCGCCCCGCTGGAATCACGCTGTCAACACCCAAATTGCACTTGGCGGTGAAGGAACGGTGATCAGTCAATCGGTGGTGCGCACCTGCGAAGTACAAGTCGATGCAGGGCTCAGCTGTTCAAACCTGTTTTCTGCGGCAGATTCTTGAGATCGCCAGCAGACTGGTCAAGGGCTTCAGCGACGCCAGCTGGAGGATGCCGCGCACGCCCTGGCAGATATAATCAGGCCTTGAAGACGTGGCGCGCGTGGGGCCTACCTCCTGCTTGCTGGTGCGAGCTGCCCCCCTGTTGTCAGGCAAGGCGCGTGGGGAGGCCGCCCCGGGATGAACCACAACCACCGGGGGCACGAGGCGCAGCTCAACGGCCTGGCTCGACAAGAAGGAGCATGAACGGGAGAGCGCCAGGAAGGAGACCCGTCACCAAGGCCACGGCAGCGAACCCACTCTATTGAACCTGGGAAGTGCATGTCATGTGTGGCGTGTCTGGAAAGGCACCGCTGCAGCAACTGTTGCGAAGCAGCACGGTCCGACGGCAGCGTTCGCAAGCCCACCTCACGTATACCGTAACACATGGACGACTATAGACGACCCGCAGGGACGACGATAGACAGGACCACCTCCCCGCATACATGTATACACATGTACCGGATTAGTCTGCATGCTCAGACATACATGTACAACTGTAACACACCAATACAACGTGGTGCCACAGGCTTCGGTGTCTCATCTGGTCCACCTGGGGCACAATTGGACAGTGGCGGTGTCCAGCTGCATGTGGCAAGACTGCTCGAGATGGTGGAAAGTATGCATTCCACTGAGGAGCGCTGACTTTCGCCGAGATGTGAGTGCCGATGCGAACTTCTTCCAGGCTTGAGCCAACATGAGGAAATGATGAGAATACTGATAAACAATGTGAGAGTGGCAATGCGGTTCAGGGTGCAGCTGAGACGACGACGATAATGATTTTGAGAACGCGTACGGGAGACTGATTCAAATCAAGTTCTACACAGCATTTTGCGACTGCAAGCCAGAAGCCATGCAACCCTTGAGGTGACAACTGAAGGCTAAGTAAGCGCTAGGCAAGTATTAAAACACAGCAGAAGGTGAGACACTCCGACCTGCAACGTATTCACTGCATTTGTGAAGTTAGCAAGTGAAGCGGCGACACACACCGCAGGACTCCATGCTGCAATGATCACGCTCCTGATGAACATGCTCACGGGGATGAGTGTACGAGTGATTAGCTCTGGCAAGTTGGGTGCCCCTCTTTTACTCGAATGGCTTGTTTCTTGATCAGGCGGGATATGTTCGAGGCTACATCGCGTCAACACAAACTGGCTTTCCCCAGTCATAACCAACGCAGACGCGTACCCTCTGCACCACTTCTCATGCTGCACAGCTGCTCAAGCATAGGGAAAAGAAACCATCCTGAAATCAATCAGAGCCTCTGGTGGAACAAGGTCCTGATGTGGTCCTCCTTCTGCCCAGGGCCTCGACACACTGAGATGTCACAAGCAGTCAAGACCTCCCCCCGAGGAGCAAATACTCTTACCCCTGGGTTGAACCAATCTCTCACCATTTTTTGTTGACGGGAATGCCGCCAGACAGGTTTGAGCTGGCTGGCTCCAGCAATCCTGAGTAACAAATTGGCTTCCCTTGGGGTGGCATCTCGTCAATTTTCCGCCAGCTTCCGTCGGCGGAGCTCCCAACCTTTTTACTTCCGCCCGCATTCCGCCTAAAAGAAATTATCAACTTCTTCGATCCTCGAAGGCAAGGCTATTTCTGGAACGCCCCAACTGAAGCCGAGCATGCGAATCTAAAGAGAGGCAGTCTCGTCAGCCGCGCTACCTCCACAGGCGGGGTCACCGCACAGGGGTGAAGGCGTTGGGCCAGGACCCCCTCTGCCGGGCACTTGCATGATACGGATCACCGAATACTAAGAAACGGTGCGTAGACCTAGAATGCAGCGACGCGGCGAGAGAGAGATGACCAGAGGAGAAGGAGAACAATCCGCCGACCCCTTTGGGATCTTCAAGCCGTGTCAAATTCTCTCCCCCTGTATCCCCCCCGGCACAGGGGGATAACAAAAAGCGCCACGACGAATGCTGGTCGGAAGTTTGCTCACTCGACGATTGAACCCCCCACCGTCAAAAGTACAGTCGCTGACCATCAGGATCTCGGCCCCCTCCGACTCCCCATGTTTGACAGCAGGAGGCCACACGTCAAATGGACCCTCCGGACATACAATGCCGTTTTTAATACATGCTCCGCGTGCGGATCATGTATTTTAAAAAAGGGATTCAGCATTAAAGACAACGATGAGTTCATGCATAAAGGTATTCATACATTAATAATGTATTCAAAACCCGATAATACAAAATCCAATTATTAAAAACTGCCCTGTACCCCGTGGCCACTTTGCCAGGTGGGCCCCCCCAAAACTTTGCGACCCGCGCTCCACAATGCCCCCGCTGCCACGGCCGGGCTCCCCCCCGACGGCAGGCACGAGGTCGCTGGCATTCGCACGCGCTCTCATCTCCTGGGGGAAGCCGGCGGCGTGGCGAAGGGCTCCCCCGACGGCGAGCACGAGCTCGGAATCCGCACGTCCTCATCTTCTCGAGGACGCCCGGAATGGGCACGGAAAGAACGGGTACAATGCCCACCGACAAGTGTTGTCCCAAACCAACAGCGGCCGCTGTTGGGCAGGCGGTCGTCTGTCTCGAATGGACACAGGCCGCCCGCGGCGGCGTGGACAGCGAATCCTGTTCAAGATGCACAGGAACTGCTGTTGGGCATCGCACCCATTCTCTCCGTGCCCATTTCGGGCGTGCAGGCTCATCTTCTGGGGGAATCCGGCGGCGTGGCGAAGCCGGCTGCATCACGGCGAGCATCTCGCTGGCGTGGTAGGGACCAGAGACAGCGAGGGGAAGAAAGAGTGGGCAGGGCACGCTTCGCACTTCAGGAGATGAGCGCCGGCCGACGCACGGCCTTCATCCACTCCGTGCGGAGGTCCTCCGAGTCTGCCGCGAACTCGCCGGGGGCAAACTCCACTCCGTCCTGAGCGGGCAGCTGGACGCTGAACCCCCATGACATGCAGGAGTCCGTCTGGTCGTGTGCGGAAACGGTAGCCCTGGCAAGATCGCTGGCGCTGTAGTAGACGAGCTCCCTATCCTCCAGCACACTGTAGTACACCAGACTGCCATTCTGCGAGATCCACATCTCCCGCTCACGCCAATTCTGCTTGTCGCTCCAATCAGAGTCTGCTTTGAGTTTCCACAATTTCGACTTGAACACTGGGACGCGGTCTGCGCTATCGTCGTCGTCTACCTTGATCCGCCTGTTGTTCACAGTCAAACGGAACTCCTTTAGCTGCACCGCTATACTGCGGCCCAGTTTCATCGTCAAGGCCGCTATATGCCTCGCCGACTCAAAGGCATCCATCCAGGCGGCGTAGTCCTCCTCAGACTCGCACCCGAAGACGTGAGTCTCTCGCGGCAAGCTCTTGCCGTCCTCATCCTCATCCTCCTCTGCGATCGAAATCTCGATTGCGGGCTCGATGGCCCCCTTCTCGAAGAGACCCAAGTCCGCGTTCGCCATCTGGTGCCCGTCGATCAGGATCAGCTGCTTGCCCTGCTTCGGGCTGTGGTAGCAAAGGCTTCCGTTCGCCGACAGCCACACGTCCCGCTTGTACCAATTCTCCTTCTTGCTAGGATCCTGTGTCTTGCTGCACTTCCAGAGGACACCCTTGTGTCGGGCGGTGATGTCCTGGGTTCCCTTCCGCTCGCGCCTCCTCAGCCCGCCCGACGCCGACGGGTCATCATCGGTGTCGCCCACGGCGTACGTGATGGGGCTGGTCGAGCTTCGGGCTACGCTCCGAGCTAGCTGGATGGGCTTGACGAAGGGGTGGTTGAGGCTCTCGGCCAGCGTCTTGCGCTTCGCGGGGTCGGGGACCAGGAGGGAGTTCACAAGCAGGGAGAGGAGGTCCTTGTCGAAGCTCTCGACGGACTTGGGTATGGGCACCTTCTTGACAGAGCTCAGCCACTCCATCAACATAATGCTTGCCTGCCTGTGCGGCCGACCGTGCTTCAGGAAGCTCACAAACACTGGCCTAAGGATTGCATCATGGGTGATGAGCTCTGGGATTGTCATGCCGATGCTCCACACATCCAGCCCTGGCGCGGCGATAATGTAAGGATCCGGCGAATCGTCGTGGATGAAACGGGCCCACTCTGGAGAGCAGTAGCAGGGAGAGAAAGACAACGAGGAGTCCGTGATCGATATCTTAGTGCCGATTCTGATACAGCCGTCGACATCAATCAATTTCAAGACTCCGTTAAAGAGCATGAGGTTCTCGGGTTTCAGATCCAGGTGCACAAAGCCCTTGGCGTGTAGACCTGCTGTCACTAGCATCATCGCTTTCGTGATGGCACGCACGGTCTCCTTTGACATCGCCTTGCCAGCTTTGCGGCGCGCAGCGATGTACTCTTTCAAACTGCATGAAGCCATCTCTGTGACCACGTACATCTCCCCGTCGTCCGGATCGGGACCGGGTGTGCCACGGAAGCCACTGGACGCCAGGTTGCCAGAGTAGTCGAGCAGCTGCATGAAGAGCTTGTCCGACGGCGCCAGCTCGAGCTGCTCACACCACAGGGACTCATCCTTGAGCGCGTTTCTTTATTTTCGGCAATAATGTGTGGGAGGTATGATGTAACGCCTCCCCCCCGCCGTGTGGCTCCGGCATCACAGCCGCGCCCGCGCGCACGACGACGATGAGCGGCGAGCGACGAGCGACGAAGACGACGACGACGCGAGCAGCATGCAGGTGGCGACCTGCCCCACAGCGCACTGGGGGGGGAGGGGCGTTACGTTATGAGGGGGGGGGGGGAGGGGGCTATAATGCCCATTATGCCCCAAGCGATACAGAAACACGCTCCTTCGACTTCTCCAGCGGGGCCATCAGCTCCCGGAGCACCTCGATCTGGCGTGTGAACTTTGTCCGGAGGGTCTCGGCCTGGCCATTCTTGGACCTGGACCTGGACACCTTGTAGACCTTGATCGCCACGGTCTCGTTGGTCAGCAGGTTCGTCCCCCTTCGGCAGATGCTGCTGTTCCCCTCGCCCATGATGTCATCGTCGGTCATGTGCATCGCATACTTCTTCATGACGATCCGGTGCGGGCCTTCGACGACCTGCGCCGAGGAGCGCTGCGTGGAGCTCGAGACGGTGGGCGTCGGCGCCGAGGAGAAGAGGCCCTGCGACCGCCCCGAGGACGTCGGGCTCTTGGACCGCGGGGGGGGCTGGACCTTCACGGGCTCGAGGAGCGCCGGCTCGCTGCGGGGGTGCTTCCTGTGAAGGGGCCCTGGGACACACAATCAGATGCACACAAATAACAGGATCCCCCATATTTTCGTATATTTCCTGGGTTTCTGTCATCTCCCCAATTCCCATATTTGCCCATGTTTTCCTGGGAGTCGACGATTAATTGCGTCTGTGTGTTTCTTTCCCTCCTGATCCTGATACATCCCTGGCCCATCGTCCCTGGCCGTTCCTGAAACGGGAACAACCGGGCTTAAACCATGACAGCTGCGGACGTAGGCGAGAACCAGATGGCACAAGGGATGAGCAGGAGAGTCCCAAAACAGCGCTCGCGCTGAAATGATGATGCTCAATGTGAGTTCTACTGACACTGCCCCCTGAGCTCTCGCAGGTCGCCGCCTGGACTGTGCGCGGCTGGGACGGGTACGAAACATATTGCCCAGCAACAGAACCTGTGGGGAATGCGCAAAAGGAAAGCTGACACACGGGCAAGAAACTCTAACAAATGAGCAAGAAGAGCTGACATTTGACTGAGAAGAGTTACCACATGTATTGAAATTCCTGCTCCGAACGATCAGGAGCTGCTGTTGGGCACTGTGCTCCAGCTCTTCCGTCCCCACTCTGGGCGCCCAGATATACCTGGCTCTGTCACCGACTCGCTCCATTACCGTCGCCTGAGCTAGGTAGTCTAGGTTACCTAACTTCGCGCATCGCGCCCCGCGATGCCCGACGCGCTGTTTTCCTCGAGCCATCGTGCAGCCCCCTGGAGAAGTACAGCTCGGCGGCGTCGGCCGCAAAGCGGAAATCGCGATCGCCTTCGCGCCCCCGTGGACGCCTGGACAATCGGCCGTCTTCCGGGCTGGTCGAGGATCGCAGCCCGTTGCCAGCGCAAGCCCCCTGAGGAGGAGGGGGAGGAGCAGGAGGAGGAGGAGGAGGAGGAGGAGGAGGAGGAGGAGGGGGAGGAGGAGGGGGAAGGAGGAGAGGAGGGGGAGCGAGGAGGAGCGACGATCAAAGACGGGTATCACAGGAGATGGCGTGGCGACCTTACGCGGCGGCGCGCGCGGGCCGCCAGCGCGGCACGCTACACTGGAGACGAGGGCGCTTCCGGGCGACCTGACGCGAGCAGCTTACGCGCCAATGTCGGCGCAGACGACCCTGTTTTCTTGCGTCGCTCACCCGTTTCCGCATGGTGACCTTTTCCTACTTCGACGTTTTGACATTGGGCGGGAGGGGAGGGGGGAAGGGGGGGGTTCTGGCTCCAGGTCTCTGCTTGACGCGACCGTTTGCAGCAAAGCGTCCTATGAGGGGGGAGGCTGCGCCTGCTTGGAACAGCAGGCGTCCAAAACAGCCAAGCTCTACTTCATGAGGGGGGAAGGGGGGTGCAAGGGCCCGACCCGATTGGCAAAACAATGAATACGAAAACGATCACCAACGCCCGCCTGCTTCCAGATGCCCCGTTTGCGTCTGCCTGTTTCGAGCTGCTCCCATTCGTTTCCACTGTTTCGGCTGCAATCTGGGGTCCACGTGCTGGTGCCGTGTACTGCCTGTTTCCTCTGCGCTGGGTCTGCGACCGGTTGGTTCCCATCAAGATGTGGGATGCGCGGCCGACGCCTCAACTTATCCACATGGTCGGCACCAGTTCCACGTGGAATCTTCAGCACTGACGCTCCACAAGCTAATTGCGTCGATCTCATCTGGACCTAGCTGCGCGTGTAATCTGGACAATCACAAAAAAGTTCGCGAGGACTGCAAGCGTGACGTTTCCTGGCCCCGCATTACGATGCCTCCCTGTAGGCAGGCCGCCTTCCAGAGGGTGCCATTGTTTCCAAAGAGGACCCACAGGAATTCCGCCATATGTGGTTCATCCCATCAGAGTAGCTTGGCATGCTACAGTGCTCATTATGAGTGGTTCGGGGCCTCTCCACCCGAAAACGGATTCGGCCACTGACAAATTGGTGCTCCACCCCTTCTCGGCGGCCTCCTTCTCGTCCTCTTCCTCAGCCCTCCTCTTCCTCCTTCGCCTCTTCCTTGCTCCTCCCTTGAGTAGGGCTGGGGGGGGGGGGCATGTCTGCAGAACACCCCACACGGACGTCAAGCGGCGCAACCAACCTGTTCGGTCAAGTTGCAAGTGATGCACCACACTGGGCGTCAAGCCAAAACTCTGGACATGAGCGAAGGGCTGGACGTTGCACATCATCGTCGGCTTGATCGGCAAGGCCTTGCGCCACCTCGACGTCCTTTTTTGGTGGTCCTGCAGAGGAAGGCGCTCTCTGACCCTCTCGGCCCGACTCCACTCCTCCTCCCCCCCTCGCCCTCCCAGGGGAACGCACAGCGGCACGAGCACAAACTTGTGACGGTCCGCGCGGATCTCTTGGATCTGCGCTGGGCCGCCGCCCCTGGCGCGCGCCGCGCGCCAGGGAGGGGGGTCCAGCGTTGCGCGGGGCATGTCCCTCCACAGGGGGAATGCTCAAAAAGAGTCAACCAAAATCAGGGGACGATTTTTTGAACCATGCTTGACAATCTGTTTAATCGAATTATTTTTCCTTCCAAAATCCGCCTGTATGAGGACACGCCCGACCTAAGTCCAGCGCAGATCCGACGTTTATGTTTATGCCAGCGCCAGGGAAGAGGGTCCAACGCCAGGGAGGGGGATCCGCGCGGACCGTCTACTGTGTGTTTGTGCCTCGTGTTGATCTTAGATATTCCTCCTCCTCCTCCTCGCTCCTCCTCGCTCCTCCTCGCTCCTCCTCCTCCTCCTCCTCCTCCTCCTCCTCCTACTGCTACTGCTCTTCCTCATCCTGCTCCTCCTCCTCCTCCTCGTGAAAAAAGAACGGCGGGATGGTACTGCCCGTGTCGACGTCCAGCGGGGCCCTGCCTGGACCCCCTGGACGTTTCGGAAGACGGCTCCGGATGAAGAGACGGTCCTGGTGAACGGGTCGAGATCTCAGGGGGTCTGCGCCGCGGCAACCCAGACATGATCGCGTCGTAAGAGAACATTCAGGACGGGGGGGTTTGGGCCAATTTCGGCCTCGGGAGGCCCTCGCAGGGCTTCCGGAGCGTCAAAAAACGATTCGGGATGAAAACCGGTCTCGGGGGAAGGGTCGGGACTTCCAGGGGCCCCGTAGTACAAAAAAAACAGGACGTCCAACGTCTGGGAAGAACACGGGGTCGCGTCGGGGTTTACGCCGCGGCGGGGTCTCCACCGTGCCGGGAAGAGTTTGCGGCCAGGCCCAAAACATTTTGAGCCTCCGATGCCCGTGTCGGGCCACGGGCGGGTGGGCACAGAAGCCGTCACTCGCTTCTCGAGCCAAGCTACAAGAAATAGAGGGCAGCCGAACACGCCGCGGCATTGACCCGCACATCGACCTGGAAGAGAAGGGGGAGGAGGCGGAGGAGGAGGAGGAGGGGAAGGAGCGGGAAGAGAAGAGGGGGGAAGAGAAAAACAAGAGGACGAACATCCGCTTACGTAAACTGCTCTCCGCGAAAACCCGGGACCACAAAATAAACACCGCCCTGCCTCTGACCTGCCTGAGGAGCGGAACCACTGCGCAGCCAACCATCCGACCCGACATCGTAAGTTGTTCGCGACGTGGGCCACTGGAGATCTCGACACCGTTCTGGCACCAGCTTGTTGTCACGAGTTGATCTTCTTGTGTGATCCCAAGATCGGAGGACACTGCCCCCTGAGGCTCCGTGAAGCCTTAAATCCTTTAGGAGGAGAAGCAGCAGAAAGAGGAGCAGAGGGGATCACGAGAAACACGAGAATTGCGAGCAGCACCAGCGGCATGAGCAGGAAGGGGGGAGAGGGAGGGAGGGAGGGAGGGAGGAGGGCGGGAGGAGGAAGAGGAGGGAGCGCACTCGTCCCTCGACTTCCACGTCATTGAGGCGGGTCTCGGCCACTTCTCCTCCGTCCTCTTCCCTCTCCTCCTCCTCCTCCTCCTCCTCCTCCTCCCCCTCCCTCCACCTCTCCTCCTCCTCCTCCTCCTTTTTTTCGAGTTGGTCGACAGCGTTGCACACACATGTTTGCAGGCGCCAGGCCTCCTCCTCTTCTCCTCTCTCCTCCTCCTCCTCCTCCTCCTCCTCCTCCTCCTCCTCCTCCTCCATCCCTCACCCCCCATCCTCTCCTCCTCCTCCTCTCCTCCTCCTCCTTCTCAGTTCTCAGGCTCTACCTGAGAACCGGCCCGCTGTTTCAAGTCGCCGCCTGCCGCCCAATCTTGAGGAGAAGCGCCCCCCCCCCCCCCCCCGTCGACGCACCCGAGGCGCGCGCCCAGGACGAACATGGAGGTCGCCAGGGCTTCGACGACCTCGACGAAGCCTCCGCACCCGAGGCGCAGGATGTGGAGTGGCCCGCCTCGAAGACGAGCCCGACGGAGCCTCAGCCGCCGAAGCAACCTTCTAGCGTCAAAGGAACCGCCCTCGAATATGGAGGTCCAGCCCATCGTCACGATGATGAGCGCCAGCTTGCGAGGCCCTGCTCCACGAGGCGGCTCACTAACAACGTGCGCTGCCCTTGGTAGAGGCCAGCAAAGAAGTCCACCAGGAACCGCTGTTCGTCCTCATTGGAAACGCACACCGCGAAGTCCATTAGGATCCGCTCCTCGTCCTCCTCCGCTGGGCCCAAAGGGTGCTCTCGCGAGGGTGCCTCGACCAGGTCGCCCAGCCGAGCTACCTCCCCCCTCGCACCCGCACCGCCCTGGCGCGAGGGTTGCTCCCGCAAGAACGAGCCACGAGGCTGGTCCAGCCGAGCTCCCCTCCCCTCCTGCGCAGTCTTGCACAGACTGCGCGGACACCACCTCGCTGGCCACCTTGAGCTGGTCGAACGCGCCGTCGGACCCCGAGCCCCTGTCGCTGCTGCCCAAATCCGCCCAGCGAGGGCGCGCGGCGCGGCTCGTAGGAACAGCGCCGCCGCCGTCGCGCCTCTCCTCCTCGAAGGCCTCCTCCTGCGCGAGCACCTTCGCTAAGGCTCTCCAGCGAGGGCTCCTGCGGGGCGCGGCCGCTGCCGTTCTCGCCCCTGCCAACGCTGGCCACCTCCACGTCCTTCTCCAAGGCTCTCCCAACCCCGGCCTCGCCCTGGGGCTCCAGGGCGGCCTCCTTGTCGCTCAGCGCCACCTCCCGCATCAGCGACCACACGGTGGCGCGGAGCTCCATGCACTCGACGGCCGTCGCGTGCGCCAGCTGTGCGCCTCGTAGCACGCGCCCCTGCGCTCCCGCCCCCAGTCCGTCGACGCCGTCTCCGAGCCGATGCCAAGCGGCGCCTCCACACCTCCGCGCCGAGGCCAGAGTCGAGCTGCTCCCCATCCTCGACTGCTGGCGCCGCAACTCCGACAGAGAGGCCCGACTGCGTGATGCTATGCGCCTGAGCCGGCGTCTCGTCCGAGCCCGCCGACGCTGCGCCCGCCGCGCGCGGCCCCGCCGCCGCCGCCACCGCCGCCGAAGCCGTCGTCGTCGTCGTCGTCGTCGTCGTCGTCGTCGTCGTCGTCGTCGTCGTCGTCGTCGTCGTCGTCGTCGTCAACGTCGTCGTCGTCTTCGTCGTCGTCGTCGTCGTCGTCGTCGTCGTCGTCGTCGTCGTCGTCGTCGTCGTCTTTGTCAGCTCCGCGCCGCTGCCGAGGCGCGCCGCCTCCTGCTCGGAGATGCCGCCGTCCAGCTCCTGCCCGGCGGCGGGCGGTGGCTCCTGCTCCCCGCACCGCGGCGGCCTCGCTGGCGCGTCCCGCGGACGCGCTGCTCGGCCTCCCAGCGCCGCCGCGAAAGCCCACTCCGCCCATCCCCCAAAGCCCGCCTGCATCGCCCCGTGGCGGAGCGCGCGGCAGGCCCCCGAGGGCTTGGCCGGCAACCCCCCTCGCGCCCGGCGGCCACGCGGAGCCGCGGGCGCGGACAGGCGCGAGCCCCCCGCGCGCTGCCACCTCCTTGTCGATCTCGCCGACCTCGCTGTCGGCCTCGGCCAGCACCTCGACGCCGGTGCTGGCTGGCCGCCGCCACCGCGGCCGCCGCCACCTGGCGGCTGCCACCGCCAACCGCTGCGCCAGCCGCCGCGGCCTGCACGAGCGGCCCCACCGCCGCCAGCAGCCCGCGCTCGCCCCCCCCCGCGAGGGCAGGACCGCGGCCCACGACCTGGGCCGTCGCCGCGGCAAGCGATACGCTTCCCCCTTGAGCCACCTCTCCTCCTCATTTCCTCCTCCGCCTCCTCCTCCTCATCCTCCTCCTCTTCTGCTCCTCCTCCTCCTCCTCCGCTTCCGCCTCCGCTCCGCCTCCGCCTCCGCCTCCGCCTCCGCCTCCGCCTCCACCTCCGCCTCCGCCTCCGCCTCCGCTCCGCCTCCGCCTCCGCCTCCGCCTCCGCCTCCGCCTCCGCCTCCGCCTCCGCCTTCGCCTCCTCCTCCTCCTCCTCCTCCTGCTGCTCCTCCTCCTCTTTGTCTTGAGCCAAAGCCAAAATCGGTTGAGCCAAGATGGCTACGGCCTCCTCCTCCTCCTCCTCCTCCTCCTCCTCCTCCTGCTCCTCCTCCTCTTCCTCCAGCCGTTCTGGCCCAGGCATTCGGCCTTCTCTTGCAACCGCGAACTTCAGAACGGCGGTGCTGTTGCGGGCCTTTTGGGTACGGCGGCAATCTTCCACGTTCTCAGCTCAGGCCGAGGGACCTCACCCCTTACTTCGCTCGGCCGCGCATGGTCCCAGGTCCCTCGGGAGATGGTGCAGAGTCCCCATGGCGCACGGGACGTCCCTTCCAGCGAAGGAGCGCTCATGCCGGCTCTCACGCCAGGCCTGCAGCCGAGTTCATGCGGCAACGGCTTCGAGGGTGGCGCCAAGGGCGGCAAGGCTGACACCAAGGGCAAGGGCACGGGCAAGGGCCTCCTCCTGGGTACTTCTACCATCCTGCCCAGCCCTCGGGCTCACTGGGAGGAGCTGCTCCCCCTGGTCCAGCTCCGTCCGCTGGCCACCTGTCCATTTCCGAGTTGGTAACCTTCGTCGAGCTGCGCAAGAAAGCGGGCAATGCGACAGAGGCTCATCTGTACCAAGTTCAGCTATGGGTGCCAAAGGCTCCGCCGAAGCCCGAACGGTCCTTGAAAGAACAATTGGCTCGAGATCAGTGCGATCGAGTCAAGCTCGGTAAGAAGATGCAATGGGAGTTCCAGCAACTCGACTCTCTCCGCACCAAGGCGGCCGCCGAGGAGGCGCTCATCGTGCAACTCAACAAGGAGCTGGCGGGCCTCGACCTGGCACATGACGAGCTGTCGGAGAAGGTCTCGGCACACAGGAAGCAGAAGGCTGACCAGCTCAGCTCCTCAGCCGAGCCCGCCGTCTCCCTGTCCGACCTTCTCTCTGGCAAGATCGACGCTTTCGAGCTGGACCTGGGCGACCCTCTCGACCTGGACCCCGACGCGGGCACGCTGGAGGAGACCGACCTGGCGGAGGTGGCGAAGAGGAAGGAACAGCTCATCAACGGGATCAACTCCATGGCGAAGGACTTCTTCGCGACGGCCATGGACAAGGTGCGGTCCGCAAAGGCAGCCCGAGTGGAGATGGCCAACCTTCTCAAGGCCAAGCGTCGTCGGTTCGAGGACGAGAGCGGCCCTCCTGGAGGCGATCTTCCACAAGATGCTGCTGGGGACCCCGAGGCCAATGCCGACAAGAAGGAGTCCAAGCCCGAGTCCGCCCCTGCTGGCAGCTCAGGGTCTTCGGCGCCAGCGGGAGAATCATCAGCGACATCGGCTTCTTCTGAGGCCGACTTGGCCAGGATACGCGAGCAGGCGCGTATTTGGCAGCCAAGCAGTCAGAGTGTAAAGGTGTAAAGGGCCCCGCCCCCCTCCCGCGCCGCCTGCGTGAGGCCTCTGGAGCGCGATCAGAGTGCGTGCCGTCAATCTTCCGCGCAGATGGCGGCTGATGCTGCAGGGTTGTCCGTCAATCAATGTCGTGTGAGTTTGCCCGTTCATGCGAGATCCGTGGGCTGCATGCAAGAGTGCCGCTTCATCGGATCCGAGAACTTCCGCTCCGAGCTGCCCTACCGCTTCCCCCCGCTCCCGCCTCGGAAGAAGTGCCCCCGGTGGTCGAGACGATCCATGGCAATGCCTGGTCGCCCGTGCGCGACTGGCCCCCCATGTGCACGGCCCGCGCACTGCCCGTACAGGAGCACAGGCTCCAGGGAAGGGGCCCAATAAACCCAGCCTCTGCTCTTGTTCCAGGAACGGCTGGAAGCCCCTCTGAGCCCCAGGGGCCCCTGGAGAGGGGGGAGGGCCGTCCTGTGGAGTCGCGATCATGGCCCGTAATTGGCTGGGTTTGCACTCCTCGGGCTCGGAAGAGATCCGGCCTCATCGGGCCGTGGTTGGAATTGTCCAACCCCCAGAGGGCCAGGCCGTCCATCCCCCTCTCCTCCCTCTAACCTCCGTGTCTCTGGGAGGTTTGAGCGAGTCCAACTTGGAGATTCGAGGGGCCATCCTTGGAGTCCATCTCTCCACGCGTGGCTCGCCGTCCTCATGGGCAGCGAGTTCAACATGGAGCCCTCGGCGCTCCACGGGTGCGAGTGCGTTCGCGACCTAGGAGGCCGCCTGGCGGCGGCGGCGAGGGTCCGACCTGGTTCGCCACTGGCGACCCCAGGCGCCACGAGTCCTTCGTGCTGCCTGGGGGGCCTCGCGAGAGCTGTGCGCTCAGTGCCCGAGGCACTCTGCTGGGTCCTCGTTCAATCCCCGCTTGCCTGTGGGGGTCCAATGCCGCGTCGGCATTGCGGACCTCCACGTACTCTCCTGTCGCAAGCCCCCCCCCCCGATCGCCGTGGATGCCCCGATCGGTCCTTCGCCTGCGCCTCCGTGCTACGAGGAGTGTTCGGCGCCTTGGGATAAGGTCCCGGTTAGGGCCAAAGGGGGAACGTCGACGCGTCAGATTCTTTGCTGGGTACTGCCCACAAGCAGTGGGCCAACACGGCTGAGAGAGAGAGAGAGAAACAGAGAGAGAGAGAGAGCTGTGCAGTGTGGCAGGCGCGTCCCTCCCATACTGTGGGGCTCGGGGTAAAGGAGCTGTCCTGTGGCGGCGGCCTGTGTTGGGACGCGATCGCGGGTCGGTCCGCTACCCCGTGCTCCACAGCATCGGGTGGCTTTGGCCCACGCTTCAAGGCTGTTATCGGTTGACGCTGTCAGGCCCCGACAGGCACCCCTCCGACTCTGCCAAGGCACGTGGGGCGCTCGAGTCGCCCCCAGCGCCTGTGGTGGAGCACCAGGGCGACTTCTCTGCCGCTTTCTCCGCGCTGCTGCCGACCTGGCGGACAATTTGGGCTCGGATCCCGAGGATGTCAGGGCCTCCCTGGAGAGTGCCCACAAGCAGCTTCAAGAGGCCCTTCGTTCCTGCACGGGGGATGCTCTCTCCAAACCGGCGCGGTCCGACTGGGCCGCTTGGCTTCCGGACGGGATCCACCAGGGAGCCCGGCGCGCTCGCCGAGTGTCCAGGGGCCCCGCGGCCGTGAGGCCCTCCACCCACCTGAAGGGGCCCCAGAACACACAAATAAATACACACAAATAAAATTATTCCTGGGTTGTTGTCTTCCACCCCACTTCCCATAGTTTCCCATATTTACCTGGGGATCGTCGATGAACTGTGTCTGTGTTTTTTCTCCTCCTGACCACCCTTGTCCTCCGTCATTGTTGCTTGAAGCTCGAGCCCCTGCCGCTCATCAGTGCTGAGCAATCCAGGGCCGCTTCTCCCGCATGCTCGCGCAGATCGGCCGTGGGCCTGGATGGCTTCCGCCTGCGGCGCTGCCAGCTCCTGTCTGACACCGGCCCTGTCCTGCCTGGGCAGGCTGTTTGTCGTCCTCGAGTCGACGGGCATGCTTCCCCGCCGACTCAGGGCTCTCATCATGGCCCTGCTCCCGAAAGCTGTTCCTGTTCTCCGCCCGATCGGAGTCCTCTCTAACTCTAGCCCTTTTCGGATCTGGGGCCGCATTCGCAGGCCCATCGCGGCCGCCTGGGAAGCCGAGCATGACAGGCCCTACTGGCCCGCGGGGAAGCCATCGGTCGGCTTACGATGTCGCCTGGCGCTAGTCGGCCACGGCTTTGAGCGGAGCACCACTTCAGGTCAGCACGCTGGGGCTTTTCTTACGACGTGATGAAATGCTACGAGCAGATCCCACTTGCCCTCTCGGAGACTCGGGGCCGCCGGCTTAATGCTTCCCCTGTCCTGATGGCGGTGTGTTTGGCTGGATACCGATCGGCTCGGTTCATGGTTCTGCGCGGTGTCGTTTCGCCCGCCTTATTTGGGGATCACGGAGTCATCGCGGGCGGCTCGACCGCCACCACGATGATTCAAGCCTTCGGCCCCGAGGCCTTCGACTCGGTGACCCTGAGACCTTTCACCGCGCTCGACGTGTACATCGACGAGCCGGGCTTGAACTCTGCCGGCACGGCCGACCACTTGCGAGTTGCCTCGAGGAGGGAGCCTCCTCCCTGCAGCACGCCATCACCGTCATGATGCGGGCTAAGATGTCCGTGGGTAAGGTGGCCCTGCTGACCTCTTCCATAGTCGTCCCGGGGCACCTCCCAAGGGCATCTGGGGCCCTCGTGGGGCCGCACAGGGAGGTCACGGTGAACCTCGGGATCGACTTCGCTCCCGGGACGTCCAGGCGCGCTGGAGGAAGGAATGCGAAGGCGAGGACTCCGACCAGCCATAACTGTGGGAGCTGTGGTCCTCACCCCCCTGGGGGAACCCATCGCATCGACGATCTCTCGAGAGGGGTGTCGAAATCGATGGGTCCCCCCAGGGGGGTGCGGACCACAGCTCCCCCAGTTGTGGCCGGCCTGGGACTGGGATGGCTGCTGCGGCTCGGAGGGCCCACCGCTTAGCTCGCCAGCGTGGGGCGCCGGGTCCGAGAGCCACTCAAGGTTTGCGGTGCTGGGCCCCTGGCGGGAGCGCAGCACGGTGCCGAGGTGAGAGGCACGTCCGACGGGGAGGTGCTACAGGTCCGCAGGCTCGCTGCGACCACGGGGAGAGCAAGCTGTGGGGGTGGGGGGACGCTCCCTGGTGAGCGTTTTTGTTTTATCCGGCGTTTCGACATTGGGCGGAAGGGGGGGAGGGGGGGGGGTCTGGCTCCAGACCTCTACTTCGTGCGACTTTGTGTGACAGCTTTGGTTCTGGGGGGAGACTCCGCCCGCTCGAAACAGGCGCCTAAAAACAGCCAAGATCTACTCCACAGGGGGGGAGGGGGGAGGTGGGGGCCCGCGCCGATCGGCAAAACGAGTAGTAAAACAACGATGACCTGTCCATCCTCTCCCGTCTCGAGAAAGGCCCAGCGCGATACGGATCCATTGCACCGATCCTCAGATAGTGTAAAGAGCTGTGGCGAGTGCAGACTAGATCGCCGTGGACCGAGATTCCAGGCGCTCGGAACGCGGCGTGGGCACACCACCCTCCCAAGACGTGGAGGTCGAACAGGGGACCCATCAGCGCGGTTTCTCTCTCACGTCGCAGGCCGGGTTGGAGTATGAGAGACCCACTCACGGTGACGGACGACAGAGGTGTGGAGATCCCCCTCCTGCCCTCACCTCCCCTGCCCTCTTGAACAGATGCTTGCGGAGGAGTGCTGCTTTTCTTCGGGGCCTGGAGACCGAGGCTGGTAGCAAGCACTTCGACGGGACCCGCCAGTGGTTCGATCCGGTCGGCCCGGCCCTGGCGTCCTCCAGAGTTCCCCCGAACCAAGAAAAGAGGCGCCATCCGAGCCCTGGCGTGCTGGGCGGTGCGGCCTCTGCGCGGAACTGCCGCCCGTGGCTGTCGGGTGGCGGGTGTGTGCTCTTGATGCGGGCAGGTAGGCGAGCGTGTTCTCCTGCGGCGTGTCGACGTTGGGCGGTAGGGGGGGGGAGGGGGGGTCCTGCTCCGGACCTCTGCTCAGTGCGACTGTCTGGAGCCGTGCGTCCCATGGGGGAGACTCCGCCCGCTCGAAACGGGCGCCAGAAACAGCCAAGATCTGCTGCTCCACGGGGCGGGGGGGGGTGGGGTGCGAGGGCCCGCGCCAATCGGCAAAAGCAACATAATAAAAAACGCTCACTTGGTTCAGCCCTGCGTGCGAGGAAGAGAGAGAGAGAGAGAGAGAGAGAGTCGGCATCGCTGGAGCAAGGCTTCTGTCTGCCCAGGGTCCGCGGTGGGCCCTCCGCCGACTCCAGCCCTGGGTTCAGACTTGTGCTCGTGAGTCGGGGCTCGTTTTCCGCACCCGCCTCTCTGGGCCCCTGGGCCGCTGAGCCAGGCTGAGGCCATATGAACGGTGTTCGTTCCCAGGTTTTTTCAGGCCGGGCGAAAGGGGGGGATAGCAAAGGGAGTGTTTGAGAATCAGCTCGCGTAGCTGACTTGCCCGGCGCCTCCCGGCGCCGGAGGCGGCCATGTATCGAGGAATGGGCCCCTCGGCGAGGCCGAAACCAGTTGCATGCAGCAAATTTCGTACCCCCCCCTTTCCCAATCCCCCCCTTTTGTCGGGCCCGATTTTTCCCCGAGGCTTGCCTGGCCGAGGGCCTGGCGGCGCCTTCCGAGGGGGTCCGGGCGCTTCGCGGGGACGTGGGCCTGGACGGCTCGTGCACGCGTTCTTCGATCAGGGATCTTCCCCGCTCTGGCTGGGGAGTGGTGACTCTCGGACCTTCGGGTCAGATTGAAGGGGCCCCAGGACACACGAATTAATACACACAAATAAAAGTATTCCCCCATATTTTCCCATATGTTCGGCGTCTTTGTCTCCCCCCTCACTTCCCATATTTTCTTGGGAGTCGACGATGAGGTGTGTCTGTGTGTTTTTTCCCCTCCTGACAGATCCTTGCTCGAAGGTGCGGTGCCCTGGGCAGCTTTGATCCGCAGACGAGCGTCGCCGCGGAGTTCGCCGCGCCCGCGAGCGCGGCCAGCCTGCTGTCTGGCCCGCAAGAGTTCAGCAAGAGCCTGGCGGACCAGCTGTCCCCTGCCAGTCCCTGCAGCGGGCTAGTCATGCAGGGCCACGTCTCGCCAGTGAGTATATCAGCTCGGTGACTAAGGTCAAGGCTCACAGGGCCGAGGACCCAGACATGCCTGACGCCGGGCGCAGACATATCATCGGCGACAATGCTGCCAACGAGGCGGCTAAAGCTGGAGCGAAGTTGCACGCTGGTATGGAAGAGGAAGAACTTGTTGATGTGAACAATTCGATCAGGACGGCAGAGGCTGTCTGCAAGTTAGCTGCAGAGATTGGCTTGCTGACGCTGCCCGTCCCCCCCCCCTGCCTTCCTCTCCTTCCCACGAGTGGAACTGGGCCGAGCGCTTCTGGCAGTGCCCCAAGTGTTTGCGCGGTCCGAGGAGCAAGCGGAAGCCCGTCCCAGGAGTGTGCACGCGCCAGCCCAGGATCGATCCCGCGGAGTTGCGGGCGCTTGGTCGCCGCTGCCTAGTCTTAGGTCGGGCATGTCCCCCTACATGCGGATGTGGTAAAATATTGAAAGAAATCATCAAAAATGGTTACAACATCATAGAAGAATCGTGCTCAGTTCTTTTTTGTACTATTTTCGAGTCGTCCTCCTGTAGAGGGACAAGCCCGACTGAAGCCTAGTCGTGGACTTCGACGATCCGAGCATCGCCTGTGTTTGCCAGAGTTGCCATGCGTTTTCCGCGGGCGGTCCCCACGCGCAGCGGAGTGTGGACGAGGTTGTGCGCAAGGGACTCCATCCCGACCACAAGAGGAAGGGGGCCAAAGCCGACCTCGGCACGGTTTGCCCCACGTAGTGGGGCCCGTGGGCGTGGATGTCAACAAACAATCCTCCTCCTCCTCCTCCTCCTCCTCCTTCTCCTCCTCCTCCTCCTCCTCCTCCTCCTCCTCCTCCTCCTCCTCCTCCTCCTCCTCCTCGACCGCGCAGCTGGGCTTCACGCCAGAGTGGCCCTGAGCAAGAGTGGCCCTTGGTGCGCGGCTCCAGGGTGCCGGTGGGGTGGGTGGGTTTGCTGTGGGGTGGCGTCAGGTCGGGCGTGCATTCCTGCAGGCGGATTTTGGACGAAAAGTAAAACATGCTCGAAAAATGCTCCCGAGGACTCAAAGAAATATTGGAAACATCGTCCCGAGACTATCTTTTACTATTTTGGGGATATCCCTCCTGTATAGAGGGGCAGGCCCGACTTAAGGGCGGAGGGAGGGGGAGGGGAGGGGAACTCCGCGCGCGCAGGGCCCCCCGCGCTCGGGGCCCCCCCGCGGGCCTGCACCTGTTGGACCGGGGGGCCCTCCGGCGACAAGAGCCACTCCGGCGCGCAGGAAGGCTGGCGGCGCGCACGAGGATTAGGTCGGGCGTGTCCCCTACAGGGGGATTTTCGACGAAAAATTAAAAATACCCGCAAAAAGGCCGCAAGAAGGTCCAAAAATATTCCAAAAATAGTCCCCAGACAACTTTTGCATTATTTTTTGATTATTTGTGGGGTATTTTTCATTTTTCGTCGAAAATCCCCCTGTAGGGGGACAGGCCCGACTTAACACAAGGGGGTGGAGGGAGGGGGGGAGGGCTTCTTAGAAGGAGGCTGCTTCTCAGAGGGCGCCGGCCTCACATCTGCAGAGAAGGCCTGCGCGTTCCAAGAGGCCCTCCCTCCTCCCGCCTCCCCCCTCCCCCGCACCCCCCCTCTGCGCGTGGCTGAGAAGGGCTGGGCGGGACCACTCGTGGATGGCCACCTCCATGCTCTCCGCGCCTCCGGGGGCGGCGCAGCGGACGGGCAGGACGGCTGCGCTGCCAGCCGCGCCGTCTCTCGCCCCGCGCCCGCCACTGGGCGGCGAGGGGCCCTGGCCCCAGACACGATCGCGTCAAAATCAGGAGGAGGAGGAGGAGGAGGAGAAGGAGGGAGGAAGAGGAGGAGGAGGAGGAGGAGGAGGAGGAGGAGGAGGAGGAGGAAGAGGATATAGCTAGGCAGAGGCAGGCATTGGAGCAGTGGAGGGCGACTGCGTGCAGAACCCAGACACGGTCGCGTCGTAAAGAATCAGGACGTGAGGTTTTTGATAATTTTCGGCCTCGGGGGGCCCTCGCCGGGCCTCCGGACCGTCAGAAACGACTCAGGATGACAGACTGGTCCTGGGAATGGGTCGGGACTTCCAGGGACCCCGTCCTGAAAAAATCAGGGCGTCGCATATCTGGGGCCCCTCCCCTGACCGTCCAGAAGGGCCGCGGAGGTAGCACCGGGGCCCCTGAGTTTTTAGATCCCAGTCCAGGTCCGAAGCAGCTCAGGAAAGTGCACAGGTCTGGAGCGCTATGCTTCAGCACGTTGGACGGGTCGAGGTTCACCTCCAGCTGTAGGGGGATGCGCAGACTGCACCTGTGCACCACCACCACGCCCAACCATGGCCATCCTTGGCCCTGGCAGGGTGCTGGCCCAGGCAAGGAGGGTCTGTACACCATCGTAGGGGCCAAGGACGGCACTGGCCAGGCATGCTGGTCTTTTGGCGCCCCGCGCGGATTTCTTGGATCTGCGCTGGACCCCCCTCCCTGGCGCGCGGAGCGCGCCAAGGGCGGCGCCGGAGGCGCCGCAGGGGGCCCCCGGGGAGGCCCCAGCGCAGATCCAAGAAACGCGCGCGGAGCGCCAAGCGTTTATTGTTGTTGCGTTTTTTCTTCATCGAGTTTGGGCGCCTTCTGCGGGAGAGGACTACCAGACCTCCAACGTCCAGAAACCATCAGGACACCCACCTGTTCATGACTCGCTCCCGAGCCTCGTGCCGGGCCCCGAGGCGGAGGAGGAGGAGGAGGAGGAGGAAGAAGAGGAGGAGGAGGAGGAGGAAGAGGAGGAGGAGGAGGAGGAAGAGGAGGAGGAGGAGGAGGAGGAGAAGAGATCTGCGTTTCAGAGATCTGGGGCCCCACGCCCGAGAGGTCTCAGCTTGGAGGGTCTTCTGCTGGGATGCCCTCCGGAAGCATCCCGCGTGGGACACGCGCGAGGGGCCGTCGTGCCCGGCCACACGCGGGCCGAGCGCTGGAAAGACAAAGTGCGCGTTTTGTGATTCGGCGTTTCGGCCTTGGGCGGAAGAGGGGGGAGGGGGGGGGGTCTGGCTCTGGACCTCTGCTCAGTGCGACTGTCTGCAGCAGTGCGGCCGATGGGGGACTGCCTGACACAGGCGCCGAAAACAGCCAAGATCTACTCCACGAGGGGGGGGGGAGGGGGGGGGTGCGAGGGCCCGCGCCGATCACCAAGCGGGCACACGCGGTAAGTGTCTGAGTCTTGCCGAGGTCGTCCACAGCGTGCGTGCCGAGCGCTTCCGTGAACGAGGTCGCCAGGGGTGGGCGCGAGAGGTTCTGGGGTGCCCCCAGAGGGGCTGTAGTTGGGTCGGGCATGTCCTCCTACAGGTGAATTCCGGACGAACGAATTGTTTTAAACAATGTCAAAACCATCTTCGAACATTGCCAAAAAATGCTCAAACAATCGTTTCCTCCTGTAGAGGGACAAGCCCGACTTAAGGCTATAAGCAGCCCCACGAGGGAGGAGGAGCAGCAGGATGAGCAGCACGTAAGGTTAGAAAGGGGCAGGAGGGAGGAAGTGAAGAGTGAAGGATGCGAAGGATGAAGGAGGTAAATGGTGAAGGATGCTGGAGGCCCCTCTGGCCTCCTGGTCGCCTTCCCCTCGTCATCGTCGCGTTCCTCCTCCTCCAGACTATGTCCTCCTTTCCCAAAGAGCAGGAGGGGTAGCAGCCCGAAGAGCGGAAAGGAGGATCAGCAAAAGGGGGAGGAAGAGAGGAGGCGTCGTATGGCTGCTTGAGCGGTCGAGTCGCGTGAAGGCTGCAGCGATAGGGAGCGCACGCGAGACAATAGAGGAGCGGAGTTCATTCTACTCCTGGCCATCTTCCTCATACTCCTCTTCCTCCCTCCTCTTTCAACCCTTCCTACTCCGACGCGCTCCTCCGTCCCCAACTCCTCCGACGCATCCCCCTTCTCCACCCCCTACTCATCCTTAGCATCTTCGACCGCGGCACTGCGCATGCATCGCCACAGTATCACGAACAAAACCATCTCGCTGAACGCGGCATGCGGGGAGGACCCTTGGGTAAGCATTAATGGAACAGGATGGCACCACAACATGGGACTACGCGCAGGCTTACAGGACCGCCACATGCGAGCGCAACTGCTCGGCCCGCTGTCATGTTAACATGTCTGGAGGGCACCCATACGATCCCCAATCCATTGGTGATCGCGCGGCTGAGGGCAAACGGCAGATCCGCAAGGTCTGATTTAGTTTGGCAAGGTCGGGTTAACTTTTACCTTTTGGCACCGTGGTACTGTCCACATGCTCCGGGGATCTTCTGACCCGGGTCGATCCAGACCCGGGTCAGACAGGCCTTGCAGAATCCTGTAAGATCCTGTAGGATCCCGCACCCAAGCCAGGACCAATGCGAAGGGCCCTGCCAGATCCTATAGGATCCTGCGCCCAAGCCTGGGCCAATGCGAGACATTGGCCCCGCAAGATCCTGCAAGATCCGGCGCTCTGGCTGACCCCCGTTTGTCTTGACCCCCGTCTCGTGAGCCCCGAATAGTCGTCCTTGTCTTCGCCCGGCGGCGGGTGGCGCCCAATTCAACCCACACGAAGTGGGTTAGCGGCGTAAGACGCTAAGAAATCGACGCGCGCTGACCGAGCGTGACGCAGCAGGAAGCCGCGCCCATAGCGCCGAGGCGCCGTGCCCACGTAAGCCGCTAAGACAACCGACCCCTTCTGAGCGGGCGCGCCGCGAAGACGGCACGTGGCAGGGAGACCAAGGGACCCCCCCCGCATTGCCCTCCCAGTGCCCTCGCTGTGCCCGCCGAGCCCATGCCACCGAGGTCTCCACAGGACAGGCGTTCGCGTGCTCTCCCGTACATGCGCACGGCCAGCACGAGGAAGAGCAAGCCGCACGGCACAGGCAAGAAGAGCTTGGGCCCACCGACGACCCAGCCGGCCACTGACATGCCGCCGATGGAATCGGCGCCGTAGCGTTCGCGGAACATGCCGCTGTGCGCCTGGTCTTCTCGAAGGGCTTCTGCAACACCGCACCGCCATTCGCTGCGTCACGCCTGTCACGGGCCCGGTCCTCGGGCAGGCTGCGGCCACAGGCGGATCAGCGGAGTTGGACGGCAGTTGTCCGCGTCCACCCTTCAAAAACCTCTAAGTTTGTCGATGGCACATTGCAGATCTGGGCACTGGGCACTGGCACTGGCACTTAAAAGACAAGAGGAGGAGGAGGAGGACAGTGAGGACAGTGCCGAGAGCGTGCAGGTGAATCACGAACACGCCTCGAAAAGGAAAGGGACGAGAGGGTGTGCTGCCATCAGTGGGGCACGGAGCCACGGTCAGCGGCATCAGCGACACGGAGCTGCAGCAGATGAGGACCATGGCTGGCGTCTTCTGTGGCTACAAAGGGTCGGGCTCCCTGACGCTGTACCTGGCCGCGCAGCAGTGGAACTTCGACCCCATATTCCACGCTACCTTCAGCATCGTGGGGCAGTACGCGGCGTGGGTGTGGGATGGGCGTGTGACGCTCTCCCGACTGCAGCGGGCCTGGATGGGCTTGCGTGACTCCTGGGAAGCCCGCCACACTCACGTCACGTGGGCCAGTGCGCAGGGCCCGCTGTCGGCTTTGTGGTTGTCCCTCAGGAGAGTCAACTGGAACATGGCAAGTTCTACAATCTTGGTTGACGATGAGGGCCTGCATATCAGTTTGCTGCAGTATTGTCCCAGTGAGGTGCTGTTTTTCCTGCGTCGCAGCCTCGACCGTTGGCAGAGCCATCGTATCCTCGACCAGCTGCCTGAGGCGCCCCCAGCCGATGGTGACGGCAGGCGGCAGCAGCATGTGTGGCTTCGTGCGCTTCGACTGGGACACGCCTCCTTGGCGCCTGGCCACAGAGGGGCTCTGGCCAAGCTGCAGTCCAACGGGTTCTGGTCGCCGCAGCGCCGCATGCAGGCTGGCTACGGCGGCGACGGTTCGTGCGAGTTCTGCGGGGAGGCCTGCTGCGACCTCGAGCATGAGATCTTCGGCTGCAAGGTATTGCATCAGCAGCAGGAGGACGAGGAGACGGAGCCGTACCCCGAGGAGGTGGCCAAGAGGAGGAAGGACATCCTGGAGGCAGCCCCGTGGCGCGACGGGGGCCAGGTGCAGGACTTCTCGGCCATCGACGTGCTCTACGCGCTGCCCCTGAGGCCTGTTTTCAGGCCGCTGCCTGCACGTGCTCAGGCTGAGCGCGAGTGGGGGGCGATCGACATGCCGTGGCCGTCGAAGTTGTACGGGGACGGGTCCTGTCTTGAAAGTGATTTCCCTGAGGAACGGCGCTGTGGCTGGGCCGTCGTGGCATTGACCCGAGACCTGTGGCCATACAAAGCTTTGTTCGGGAGCCTGGGGGGCCCTATCCAGACGGTGCCCAGGGCCGAGCGCGTTGCTGGTCTCAAGGCCCTGCAGAGGGCCCAGAGGCCAGCCACGTACGTGACTGATCATTTACAGCTGCAGGTCGAGGGAATGGCCTGGGAGGGTCGTCATGCTTCTGCCAGAGCGCCTCACGCGTCCATCTGGCGGAGCATCCACGAGCTGTATAGAGGCGACCCTGTCAGGCCCGTGTTTGTTTGGACGAAGGCCCATCGGACCGTCATCGAGGGGTTTGATGCCTGCCTGGCTTCCCAGGAGCCCCTGGAGCATTTTTTCGGTAATATGTGGGCTGATGTTTTCGCCCGCGTGGCTGCGGCAGATTTCC